CTAATAAAGTGGCCGGTGAGTGTATATCTGTATATATATATAAAAAACTGAAATAACTACATTTTAACCTTACATCCTAAGTTTGAGTGAACATTTAGCACTAACTCGATATTCTGTTTTCTGTGTGCAGTCTTATGGTGGTGGGGTCCAACTACCGCTGCCCTGTTTGCCTACCTCCCAGCTGTAAACTTGACCGAGTGGCGTTCTGCATCTCCCTTCACTTTCCTGTCTAACTTGGCGGCTGTTCCAGCTGCTGCCCCTGAGTCCGAGTCTGCAGTGGAGCAGACCGCAGCCACCCCAGCCTCACATGGAACAGTAAGCAGCAACAGCACTGACATCACTTAAGTCAAGAGAAACTGGAGACTGACTTTGAGTTCCCCCCCTTCCCCCTTATTCCTCAGCCAATCTTTCCCCCCGTGGCTATCTCCGGTGTGGACCTGGAGCGCCTGGAACGTGTCGAGCGCCAGCTAGCGCTGCTGTGGGAACGAGTCCAGCAGGGAGACCAGAAGCAGGATCAGCGTCACCGGGACATTTTAGGTCTCTACAGCACTCTGAGAGAGCAGCTGCACACTCAGACTGAAAGGGAGAGCTTGGAGGTGTGGGTGTCCTCTCTGCTGGAGCAGCGACTCGGCGCGCTGCGAGGAGAGCTGGAGCAGGAGAAGTCGCACACGGCACAGGTACGTGGAGGTTATAAACATTCGGTCCGGACAGATTGATGCGTTGACTGTGAAAGAAAATCTTGCCTTGAAAACATAAATGCAWTATGCTTCTTTTGTAGGGTGCAGAGCAGCAGAAGCAGCAACAGGAAAGTCAGGCAGCACGTCTGGCTGGTTTAGAACAGCTGCTCAGCGCTTTGGCTGCCAAGACGGAGGTATGTACTGCAGTTTTACTAAAAACCTGAATGCATGTCTGCAGAAAACACAGTAGCGGTGACAAATTTTATTATCAGTCAGTGGTTTCTGAAAGACACAAAGAGTTTCTACTCTTTGTATTTTAGGCGATGCAGCAGAAGCAGCATGAACACGAGAAGGAAAAACGAGAGGAAGAGGTCATGAAGTCAGCAGGAGACACAGCTCCTGTCAGGTACAAGTCCTCAGATTTATAAAAGGACAGATTTTGATTTTATGTGAGGGAGCATTTTGCAGTTTCTTGAATGTTATTGTTCCTACATGCAGCTTTTGTTTGTTCCTCAGTGTGGGTGTGAAGCAGGAGGACCATGATGCTTTGCTGGTGGAGGTGCAGAGACTTGAAGCAGAGCTGACTAGAATCAGAGGAGACCTCCAGGGTGTCCTTGGCTGCAAGGGCAGATGTGAGCAGCTGGATACACTGCAGGAGACAGTAAGTTTCCCAAACCTTTTCCCAATTGATTTCCAGTTTTTTTTTGTTTGTTTTTTGTTTTGTTTTTTGTTCATTAAGATTCTGTCTTATACCTTTTGTAGATATCAGGTCAGGTGTCCTCACAGTTACGGAAGGAGCTGCAGGCTCTGTTTTTTGGTGGTGGTGAATCCGGAGAGCAGCAGGGTCAGATACCCGACTCTCTGCTCCACTGGCTGTCCCAACGCTATGTGAGCACGTCTGACCTGCAGGCGGCGCTGGCCTCACTGGAGTCGAGCATCCTGAGAAACATTTCACTGCAGTTGGAGCTGAGCCGGGCCCAGACGCTGGGTGAAGCCGAATCACAAACGAAAAACATCGTTCAGACAATTACTGGGACGGTTCGTCATGCGTCCGCTGCTGAGGGACTGACCGAAGAGGTAGAAACGCTACTAAAATCATCAGACTGACTCAGGATTTTAATCTTAAACCAATTTAAGGTGAATTCTTTAAAATCTTGTTTTGTTTTCCACACCCAGCACGTGAAGCTGATGGTCCAGAACGCTCTGAAGCTGTACTCTCAGGACCGAACTGGTCTGGTGGACTATGCCCTGGAGTCTGGAGGTAAGAAGGAAACTTGCCCATCCTGAGKCTGTATCCAGGTCAGTGGTTAACCCTGTAGCAGTTTAAAGGGATTAACGAGATGGCTGTTCTYTAACTCTGTAACGTATGTCTTACGCAACAAGGATGATGGTATTTARAGGTTCAAGGACAGCAGAGTATTACCTGAAAAACCTCAGACATGTTACTTCTGTCTGTTGACCTGTTTGTGATCGTTAGACCTGTTGAACTAAACAATAAATCATTTAATCGCACAATAAATTAAAATGAGGTGGATAATTTTCATTTGCCTGCTTGTTTGTTTTCTTTGTGTTTCCCTCTTTTCTGCTCCTTAGCGCAGAGAGGAGTGACCTCTGTCAGGTCACAACCTCCGTAGCATGAGAGCCCCGTGAACAGGCGTTTAGCCAGAGGAGCGTCTTTTTAGCTGGCGACTCCTCAGGGCACTTTGCAGAACCATGGGTTTGCCGAGAGTTGTTTCTTTTTACACTACGTAAATTTTATAGTCTTCGTAAGCAGGTAACCGTAATTATTTTATAAAGCCAGAGGAAGATACATACAGAATAAATGTGCTGGCTTGTATAGAGGTGGGTAGRGATGTTACAGCTTCAGCAGCTGCTGTTGTGTGTTGTTTTCACAAACTCAGCTCCCGGTCCATCTGTAATTTTACGTAAATTTTTTAAACTTGTGTAAATTCTGTAAGCGGCATGAGTGTGACTGCAGTTAGTTTGAWAGAGGAGGTGGGAAGAGATTTTAGCTTCAGTTAACACATTCTCACTCCTGACTCGTCACATATTAACGCTTTTCCAAGGTTCCCTCGGCGTCTGATTTTGACACGTCGGGTACTCCCGTCACTTCAGTTTTTGATGCACCAGGCATCTGCGTCCAGGTTTGACACATTGGGACACAGAATATAGGGGTCTTTGACTTGGGGTCCATGGTTAATATTAGGGATCAGGGTTCATGGTTAATTTTAGGTTGTGGGGTCAGGGATAGGATGTCTAGGGCGAATATTAGGTAAATTTAGGCTTTGGAACACATAAGCTACGTTCACACTGCAGGCAAATCTGACCCAAATCCGATTTTTTGTTGACCCATCTGACCCATATCAAATTTTTTATGACAGTCTGAACATGACAAATCTGATTTTTTCAAATCCGACCCAGGCCGTTTTAGTATGTGGTTTTAAATCGGATACATATCTGATGTTTTCAAAGTGACTGCAGTGTGAATGCTCATGTCACATTCATCTGACTTTTTCATCAGGAGGAGGGGGTGAAAGATCGATAAGACACTAACCTCAAGTCTCACTGTTTAAATCTGTAGCTCCGTGTGTTTACAGCTTGAAAACACAAGTCCAGTTGCTTCATCTTTTTACTTTTCATTTTCCACGTAGATAGTATGATAATAACGA